TGCTTTGCTCTTCAACAAGTCACTTGAACTCCAAACCTTTCCAGATATTCTAAAAAAAGCGAGAGTAACGCCTGTCCACAAATGTGGTGACCCCACAGATGTTAACAACTACAGACCTATATCAATCCTGCCAAACTTGTCAAAAATTTTTGAAAAACTTATATACAAGCAGCTTTACTCATATCTAGCCAAACTCAATATACTTAGCCCTTGCCAATATGGCTTCAGACCCAAAAAAAGCACTAACGATGCACTTATTAGTATGCTTAACTCGATTCATACAGCTCTTGATAAAAAGGAGCTCCCTGTTGGGTTATTTGTGGACCTGCGTAAAGCTTTTGATACTGTCAACCACCAAAACCTTCTTCTTAAACTACATCATTATGGAGTCAGAGGACACTCCCTACAATACCTCGAGTCCTACCTTACTGACAGGCTCCAATATGTTTCTGTGAATAATACAATTTCTCCCACCCTACCCATCAACATTGGTGTTCCTCAGGGCAGCATACTTGGCCCTCTCCTCTTTCTCATCTACATTAATGACCTTCCAAATGTCTCCCAACACCTCAAACCAATTCTATTTGCTGACGACACAACCTTCATTTACTCCAGTCCTGACCCTCTTGCTCTAAATGCCACAGTAAATACTGAGCTAAATAAAGTCCATCTTTGGCTAACTGCCAACAAACTCACCCTTAACATTGACAAAACCTTCTATATTCTGTTTGGCAATAAATCCTCTAGTCTTATAAATCTCAAAATAAACAATACCCAAATTTGTAACAAATTAGATGGCAAATTCCTTGGCATTCTCATTGACCACAAGCTGAATTTCCAGGGACACATTCTAAATATATCAAAAAAAGTTTCAAAAACTGTGGGCATTCTTTCTAAGATCAGATATTATGTACCACGCCCTGCTCTGGTGACTCTCTATTACTCCCTTATCTATCCTTATCTCAACTATGGTATTTGTGCTTGGGGTTCTACTACCCAAAATCACTTACGTCCTCTAATTACCCAACACAAAGCCGCTATTAGAACAATATCCAACTCTGGCCCCAGACATCACTCGGTACCCCTACTCAAATCTCTTAATATGTTAGATATTAAGTCACTGCACATTCTCTCATGTGTATTATACATATATAAAACGCTAAACTATAATGCCAATCCTGATCTTAAAAGCTTCATAGAAGGTTGTAACAGAACCCATGAGCACCACACCAGAAATAAATACAGTTTTGATATTCCTAGAGTACGTCTTAATCAAACTAGAAATGCTCTGCAAATCAAGGGGCCCAGAATGTGGAATGACCTTCCCAACCATGTTAAAGACTGTACCTCTCTCAACCAGTTTAAGATAAAAACTAAACACTACCTAATAAATTCCCTGTAATCTACCTCACTCCTCTATTGTCAATCCATGTCTGTTATTTTCTTTTTTTTTTTCTTTTTTTAATCAACACTGTTTGTCAACCTATTGTATTTGTGCTGCTTTTTCAGTCATGTTCCCCCTTTTTTTTTTATCTTTATTTGTATTTGTTCTCAACATCTTTTTTCTTTATGCTCAATTAGTATTAAGTTCTAGATATTAATGTTTTTTCTTGCCCGAAACGCATTGCGTAATAGTGGCTTTAGGCATTGTATGTACTAGCTCTATCTATATATCAATCCATTAATGTAACATCACTTGTATGTATATACCTTACCTGAATAAACATCTGAATCTGAATCTGAATCTGATTAGGTGAACAGAATCTCCAATAGATGGGGCAAGAGTCGCGCTATCTCTCGCCCGAGCGAGAGTCGAAACTTATTTTAGAATTGATATATCTTTGTCCTCCAACAAGATATATTTCCTTTGGTGCACTCACAATAACGAGCATATCTCTGTCTTTCTGAAGGCATATAATATTTTAGGCTTTATAAGCGTATCTTTGTTAATTACACACTATATTGGCAAGTGCGTAGGCTTCTGCATTCCATGACCGACAAGCTACTGAATGCCACTATAAAAACGTATGTATCTTCACTTGAGCTTTATATATGTCTATGTTAAAGTATTTAAAATGAAGCTTATATTTCTATCTTTCTTGAGACATATAAAACATATGTGTTTATTAATGAATTTACGTGAAATAAGCATTGTTCTGAGAGAGAGTTGCTCTGTCGATCAGTCTGTGCGGGGTCGGAGCTCGGCGATTATTAAAACACATGTATCTTCATTAGAACTTTATATATATCTATGGTAAAGTATTTAAAATGAAGCTTATATTTCTATCTTTCTCAACACATATAAAAACATTTGCGTTTATTAACGAATTTACGTGAAATAAGCATTGTTCTGAGAGAGAGTTACTCCGTTGCTCGATCTGTGCGGGATCGGAGCTCGCCGATTAGAAAAATACACGTATCTTCGCTTTAAATACAAATATGCCCATGGTAAGGCATTTAAAATGAAGATTATGTTTCTATCTTTCTTGAGACGTATAAAAATCTTACGTTTATTAACGATTCTGCGTGAAATAAGCATTGTTCTGAGATGAATATTGCGGATTTCCGGCTCTACGACCGATGAAAAATGCAACTTTTATATAACTACAAATATCTTTAGTTTTACTTTAAATTTTGTCCTGAAAGAGTTTTCATATATAGATCCAGTTTCTGCCGTTCTTCTGACATGAAAAGACCTTTGGTTTAATAAGTTATTAAGATGTTTTCAACAATATTACTAGGGCGTTCACAGATTCTAACATGGGCGACCCTTTTGGAAACGCAACACATGGACCATTAAGGTTCAGAACACCATCATTGATGTAACCATCAATGATACAACTTCTTCCACTCTACCAATTACCGTTGGAGTGCCACAGGGCAGCATCTTAGGACCTCTTCTATTTCTTATATATATAAACGATCTGCCTAATGTCTCTAATATTCTCAAACCTATATTGTTTGCTGACGATACTACCCTTATCTATTCAAACCTCAACCCACATACACTAAATAATGTTGTGAATAATGAATTAAAAAAAGTCCACTTATGGATGTCAACGAACAAACTAACATTAAACATCGAAAAGACTTACTACATCTTATTTGGAAGCAAATCATCAAATGCAATTCAGCTACAGATAGACAACATTAACATCAGTAATAAAAATGATGGAAAGTTTCTTGGCCTATTCCTAGACAAGAGACTCAACTTCAGCACCCACATTCAACACATAACTAAGAAAGTCTCTAAGACAGTTGGTATACTCTCCAAAATCAGATATTATGTTCCTAACTCTGCTCTCCTCTCACTATATTATGCACTAATCTACCCCTATCTTAATTATGGTATCTGTGCATGGGGGTCTACCACTGCAAACCACCTTAAGCCCATCATCACACAGCAAAAATCTGCTATCAGAATAATAACTAACTCTGCTTTCAGACAACACTCAGCTCCCTTGTTTAAATCCCTAAACTTGCTAAATATTAACTCCCTCCACACATTCTCTTGTGTCAACTACATTTACAAAACCCTGTTCTTAAATGCAAACCATGCTCTGAAACTCTCCCTGGACAGATGTAATAGGACCCATTATTACCACACCAGAAATAAATATCTCTTTGATATCCCCAGGGTCAAACTTAATCTGTGTAAACACTCTATGCAAATTAAGGGACCTAGTCTATGGAACTCACTCCCTAGTGAATTGAAAAGCTGTAAAACTTTTGCCTTATTTAAAAGCAAAACCAAAAAGTACCTAACTTCATCTTCTTAGTTTCCTACACTGAGCTTTAAATTTGCTCTGTACCTAGTGTTACCCAATCTCCTAATTTTTATGTAATATCAAACAACCTTATCATTGTGTTCATTGCTGTCTTCTTTTATGTGCTAGCCATATGCTGTATTGTGACTACCAATTTTTGTCAACTACCATTCAAGCTGTCATTGCAATCAATCTTAGCTACCTATGTGCTTTAATATACTGTACCTACAATTTTCTCTCATCTTCTTTTTTTCATTTCATGTAACTGTTATCATTTTTTTGTCAATAAATTTTGCAAGTATTTACCTCCTTAAAATTTTCTTAGATTAAGGACCTGCCCGAAACGCTGCGCGTGCTAGTGGCTTTACAAGACTGTAATTACCATATTTGTATCCTCACATTCCTTATGTACATTGTTGTATATGCATAAATAAATAAATAAAGTGCATCACACTGGTTACATGGGGGGACACTCGTTTTGTATGACGTCCGTTTCACATGACGAACATGGAACGGATTAAATTCGTTATGCGAGGTACCACTGTACTTGCTCATTAATCGCAATCGATAATGTTCATTTGGCAATGCAACCTGTCCTCGTCATAAAATAGCTTGGTGTATTTAGTCTAACTTAGTCTAACACTGTACCTGCTTTCTTGAACTTTCAAGTCTGTGTAATTTGTTGACATATTTCATGGATCTGAAACGTCTTGGAATACTGAAGGTATTCAAAATGTCTACATTCAATTATGAAGGTGCTTTGCAATAAATAAAGTACATTATCAAAGTAACTTAATTACTAATATGTGCTGTACATTCCAGCCCATCCTCATCAATAAAAGCCAAATGCTCATTAATCCAGCCTCTAAACCAGTTTATGAATGAAAAACAGGTTACATGTAAACTCACAACTGATGATGGTTGAACGCGTCTCCAACAGTGCTTCGCTGACAACATCTGTTCAAACCAGTGCTATAAATTCTTCACCCCACATGCTTCAAATATAAATTATTACCAACAGAACCTAAATACCTAACCTAACCTACAACTAAGTATACACAGACCTTTTAATGAATAATAACAACAACATATAAGAACATGTTGATGTTTAACACATTCATTATTAAAACTAATGAATGCGTCTTAAAGGGGATGTCTGCAGCTTTAATGACCCTGGCCTGAGGATGGATTGGTACATTCACAATGTCCCAGTTCTTGGAATAAAATTGCAAAAATTATTTGTCTTTATTTCATTGAAACTCAGTTCATGCAATACATATATACATTTACACCATCAGGTCTTGACAGCTGAGCATTATTACCAGCTCATTGTTCTTAACATAAATAGGATAAAATATGTTTCCTAATGACAGCACAGCAGTCTCTGCTAGTATACTAACACACTTTTAACAAGTGTAACAGCTTGTACTATGAGTACAAAATTAGTATTGCCTTGCTTTTAATTATACTGTACATAAAAATTGTAACTCGACAAATTTCTATACACAATTACGCTAAATCTGGGCACCCAATGAGAATTGCAATACAATCGGCATTATTGCAGGAGTACCCGCGATAATACTTAGATGTCTGCGAGATAATGTCTGTGAGAGTACCACTTTTGTACTCATGTTCAAAGTTGAAGAGTGTCATGCAGCCAACTTGAACCCTCAAGGGTTCAAGTTGCAGTCTGTGTGCAGCCACAGACAGCAGTCATGTTCATAATTATAATAAATAAACTAATTGTTAAAGAGTACTTGTTCAGATTTGTTCCATTAATATTCCATATCGATTTACGGGCTTTACGAATCATGAACACGACGGGTATCACAGCTCGAGGAATCCATAGGAGTCTTCACTATTAGTATGGCACTCCTTCTCACACTAAATTTGACTCGGTTAACCACGAAAAACACCTTCATGGATAAATACAATATATATATGCTTTGTGTTCACTCGTTCATATTTGGGTGAACATAAATATTGTACATGAAAATTGATCCATTGTTTCAGTTTTTCTTTACAGTATGCTACAATAACTTTAAACAAAACTCTTCCATTCAAACAGAGTAAGTCATGCCATTGCTGATAATTACCTTTCATGATGCACAAAACTTAGAATACAACAATTAGATATAAAAGGACATTAATGATTTATTTAAGCAATGAAGACATTTCATAACTTATACATCACATAATAAATGCTTTGGTATATAAATCTCACTATGTAGAACAACAAAAATATAATTATTTAATAAATTTCACTCCATTCTAAAGACTGAGGCCATAGAACCATTTTGCTTACCACAAGATCGCAACATCATGCCATTATGACGTTGTGCCAAGGGGCACTATGGCAATACTGCCATTACAATGATGAGTCGTCATAATGTGGCTGAACACACAATGACCACACTACACAAAATATTGGAGAAACAATGTTTTGGTCTGTCCTGGACCATTATCAAGTCATGTAATAGAAGAGAGGATTTTGGTACAGACAAATATAAGGTAAGAGTAAGATGAAAGGTGAGGGGCAGGTTGGAGAAGAATAAGGTAAGCATAGGATGAATAAGAATAATTCTTACCTTATTCTTGTATTCATCTTATGATTACCTTTCTCTTACCTGCTCCTCACTCTCATCTTACACTCTTACATTATAGTTGCTTCTCTCAAATTATTTGATTTGATGAATGGTCTAGGACAGACTGAAATGGCGTCATTTAATTTCTCTATTTTCTGAGAGAAAATGGTTGGTCATCGTCATTTTGAGGGCGGCCACCACCGTGGCCGCCGCTGGGGCCACCGCTGTGGTCACCACCGTGGCCACCACAAGGCTGAAGTACAACTGAATTAAACAAATGTGTGGTTTGGTCATCGTCATTTTGATAGTGGCCACAGTGGTGGCCGCCGCCGGGGCCACCATCGTGGCCGCCACAAGGCTGAAGTACAAATGAATTAAACAAATGTGTGAAATTAATAAAATGAAAGCCATTATAACTGAATTTATACTGGTCAAACTTTATTCCTGAACAAAATTTTATCTTTGTGTTAATAATATTTAATATATAACCCTTGAACAGGAGCATAAGTACTTTAATTCAGGAACAAAATTAGGAAAAGATATTAACCGATGTATGATCAGTTGGTCTCAGATTTCAATGGAAGCACCGATAACGAGAGTTAAATGTCAGACGACACAAGTTATCCATAATGACTTGTCTACATATGTCTTTCCTTTGGGTCACCATAAATGTTATTCTACTGAATTTGTTACATTACTGTGTTTCTACAATAACAACTCAAATATAAAATCAATAAAAATATACATAGGTCACATTGTATATAATTATTGACGATATTATAAAACTTACTCTATTGAATGCTTTAGTATGTTATTTCTAAATTTATAATATTTTGTAAACACAAGTAATTTAAAATTTTACTATATTTAAATTTGTTTAAATTTTTTCCCTTGCATAAAAAACTCACCTCACTTCTGGAGGCAAGTCCCTCTAATTAATCTACCGTATAGTTTTATTTCTTTAAACAAATGTAAGTAGTGATTACTGCATTTATATTATGCCTTAAGAAAATGACAAAATAATTTGTAGTACATGTACAAACCTGTTCAGGATCTATTCTCACTTTCATAAACTGTTTGAATGGTGGTGAAGCCCTATTAATGTTTCAGAGGAATGAAGGCCTGCATATATATACCATTCAGATTTGGCAATACTGTATATGCTAACCCTAAACTGCATTTAACAAAATAATATATCTATGAGCTTTCATGCTAAAACGCAGAAAGCCTAAGTTTATGTGTGATTTATGCAAATGATATTGAAAATCCAGGAAAGAGCAGGTTCAACCAGAATTTATCTACACAGCTTGTATTTTCATTTTAATTGAACTTCAAACCTTATGTATACTATTTACACATTGCATTTTAAGTTTGGCCAATATGGCCCACCTTCATTTCCTTCTCTCTGCTCCAGACAATTCAATGCTTTGAAGATAAATTTAGAAATAACATGAAATATATATTAATGGAATAAAAAAATAATTCTAAACATTCACAACTGTTCAAAATGAACACCATACACAGCAGCACATAGCATGCACCCGAGCTACAATACGCACCCGAGCTACAATACACACCCGAACTACACAATACACGCCCAAGCAACAATACATGCCCGAGCTACAATACATGCCCGAGTTACAGCACAGGCCTGAACTACAGTACACTATAGCATGCACCCAAGCTACAGTACTCTGTAGCATGTGCACAAGCTACAGCACATACCCGAGCTACAGCACATATCTGAGATACAGCACATATCCGAGTTACAGCACACAACAGCACGCACCCGAGCTAGTCTAAAGATAAAACATTGTGTACAGTAAAAATAACCAGCGCTGAATGTAATGAAACACATTTTTGTGGCAAGTCCTTGGTGGCTCTTTGATGCTTGCTACCTGGCAAACAACCCAATTTAATTCACGTCAGGCACTCAAGTCATTGAAGGCTTCCAGAGATCAGTCAAACTTGGCTTCCCTCTTAAAAGAGGTGCAAGGAGTAGGGGGAAGCCAATAAAACCCTAAAAAAGAAAATGTCACCAAAAGGTGGGTGAATGCAAACATGCAAGGTAAACATGGTATAGAAAACGAGACAACGAAGCTCAGAGTTAAATGAATCGCCTGCTGGTGAAGCAGTTCTCTTGTTAGTTCCACTGTGCACCGTCTTCCTCCATTCCCTAGCCATGAACCTGTCATTTACATGGAAAACCCAATTCCTGTGAATTGGAAACGAGGGGCTCAATACGAGCCTCCAAGGACCCACCAGAATGAGGTGTTTTAATACATTCAATCCTGTCTTTCTAGGAGTGCTCCTATTGGTGGCTTCTTGCTGCTGTCGCCACGGAGAAAAAACAAAAGGGGTACTCGCGAGGGGTAGAGGAGAGTCTTAGAAAGTAACACCCTATAAAAAGGGGAATTAGCAAAAAGTTAATTGCCCCAAAGTGACGAGCCCAGCACGGACCAAGAACATTCACCAAGCAATGAACTGTTGGCACCAAAACGTCGGCGTTGGACCACCAAAACCCACGAGCCCTAATATCTGCCCATGACACATTTGAAAAACTATTGATGGTCGTGAACTTATGAACATTATTGGTCCGAGGGTAAACCACAAGCTGGCTAATCTATTTTTACACTAGACAACTCAAGACAAATGGTTCCTGGAACAAGAAACCAAGGTCACCAGATCCAAAAACAAAATGTCCTTGCCATGCACTAATAATGTGGCACAGTGGTAACAATGAACAGCTACAACCGAACATAATGAAGGAGATGGAGGAGCAAACTTGGACCAAGTAGAAAATAGCAACTGCTCTTGATCCTGAAAAGACAGAGGCTGACCCTGGGGCAACCACATCAACATTAATCCATAATGCAAGTATAATGACAAACCTGGCCTGTAAAGCAAAGTCCTTAGCAGGAGGTTCAGCTAAAACAGACCCCCATTGACTTCAAATGTTGCAGGCCTCAATGTGGAATGTATTCCCTACACAACAGGTGACATGATGGAAGCAACAAGAATTACAACCAACATACATAAAAATCAAGGCACATCCAAAACCTTGCAAGGACAGAATCTATAATAAATTCCTACAAAAATAGCATAGAGCTTGTGGGATCCTGAAGGGTAGACCAAGCAGGAAATGCCAGGCACTGGTGCTTACGTATCGGTGACTACTGGGAAGGGAGATCTAGCTCTTTATGCTCCACCTCCTAGCGGCTCATACCTGGTGTGCTAATTTTCCCCTCATAACATTAAAAAGATGAAAGTGTTCAAGTTGTGGATGGAATAGCTTTCAATGCATTCCACTTGACTACCACCCATACAGGGAACTTTCTTACATCCTTCGAATCAAATGCATGGCCAGCTTCCACTGATGTCCCTTATAATGTTGACATCTTTAATTTTAATCTACCTCTTTAATTTTAATTTCAAATAGACTTCTTTTGTCAACATTATCCAATTCAAGATCTTGTACAAAGTAATCATATTCCCTCCGTTTCTTCTCTCTAAGGTTGTGAGGCCTCTGAATTCTGGTGCCACTCACTGAATATTACAAAAACTGAAAGTAGCATATGGGCAAATCTGGCTGTTAAGGGTGTGAAGCACACTGTGTAACAAGCATGCAAACAACCTATGTGACCTTGTACAAAAACAAAGAGCCAAAGATCCGTGGACTGCCAAGGGCACGGTACCTTCATATTGGAACCCACTCTCGGAGACAGCCACCTGAACCCACCAAAGATTGTAACTCAGGCCAGGCAAGGAACAATACCAGCTAACACCTAACACTCAAGGACCTGGTGAGGATTGAACTGGGTGGATTTTGCCAAGTAGCAAATACCAACAAGCCACTAATAGCAGCCCTCACAGAAAACTTATATCAATAATTTTGCCAAACAAAATGTTAAAAATATTCTTATTTAAAACATACCTGTAAACACACATTATCATGAAATATGTATACAAATATTTGGCAAAGTACATTTTTTAGTGTTGCTAAAACACTGAGTACATATGGAGAAATAATTATATTAAACCTAACAGCACTGATATGAGTATTTTGTACCAACAACTTCAGTTACTTCACAAAAAAGGTTAAAAATGTGGCAGTAAATGTAGTCTGCCTCATTAAAATTGAATACTGAAGTGAATGAGTGAAGGAATATGATGGACATTATTACAAACAAATCTACAATACAGTACACAAATTGGAACCCAAATAGTGATAAAAATTAAACTATAGAAGCTGACACTGATATGTCTCTTACAATCTGTTCAGTTTGCAAGGTAATATTGTCCTACACACAAGAACTATTTAATTTTGACATACTGTACACCTAAAGCTGTTAAAATTATATGAAATAGTCTTCTCTTTCCTGGATCCATGATAAAACAATTACATTTGTTCTTTTGTATGTAAAAATCTGAATGACACTCTCATAATATAAAATTACTCAATTAATATAACACTGATGCAATATATATATATCATATTTCCTACATCAGTAAGACCCCATAATTTGGACAGCCTGTATCATAATGGCACACAATTTCTTCATGCATCCTAATGGAATCTAATATTTTAATCAATTCCCCTAGTTAGAGAACTCTCAAGTGTGATGTCAAATTCATTAAGAGCAGACAAAACATTAATGAGGTCCCGAACTAACTGTGGATCTCTTAGGAAGGACGAATCATCATACATGTGACTTGTGATTGGAGATCTCTGGAGTGGTAACAAGATGCGTGGCAAAAGGTGTGATCTGAAAAATCAAAATAAATTTCATTATATCAATAATTATATTATTAATAAAGTCTGATTAACCATAAACATTTCACTCTGTATGAAATGTTTTCCGTTATTGTTTCAAAACCTGGTTTGTTTTTTTGTCGGGGCATTCTCAGTTACGATTTCAGGTCCTTTCCTTTTGATTGTTCTGGCCTCCCAGACAAGGCATAGTTCTCCTCTTTGGGGCGGTTGCAATTCAACGTCTGAGCCTGCCTTGATGATTGGCTAGTATAGGCTTCTGGTTACCTGTGTCTGCAAGCCAGGGCTTTTAATGGTGGCTGTGGTGCTCCTCACCTTCTCCATTTGCACCTCTTCCTGGGCATTTAAAGGCAGTTTTTCTTACTTGGCTAGCCTTGCTTTATACACAGTAACCTTCCATGACACAACCATTCGGGGAAAAAATACATGGCACTTAGTAAATACAAGTCCTGGGCAACCATCTGGTGGTAACCAGCGTAGATAGGGCAGGGTTTGTTTACTTGTTACAAACTATTAGTTGGCTTATTTCTCACAGAGATGTGGAATTTTTTGTTATGTCTTAGACTTTTTAATGTTTCATTTTGGTAGTGATGTTTATCTTTGATCCTCAAGTATTTCCCTTGCCCATTTGTGGAAGCCAGGATTCTGGGCCTAGGTCCCAACAGGAAATCTCAAGTGCCTGATAAAGGAAGTAAAATCTGAGGTCTAAGATTTGAGAAAAGTACGTATCCCTCTATACCATCGCTACTCTATAAACAAACCCGGCCCAGCCTGTCCAAACCATTCCCTTGCACAAATGACTGCTGAGGGAAACATTCCTCGATTTGTTTTTAAATCAAAATAATAATAATTGTGTTATGGGGAATCGGTGTTACAGGAGTGCCAAGTGTACTGGAAAAAATTTAACTTTATGGAACTTTACAAATGATCTTGAATTATCCATACTGCATGCAGGAAAAATTGAATCTAAATCGTATGGATAATGCAATCGCGACAACATCAGCAGTCTAGTGAACAGAGTTGTCAAATTTATCTGTATGCAAAAAGCAACAATTCCAACTAACCTGGCTGCAAGACAAACAAAAAGTTGGAATTTGTCATCTTTGCCAAGATGAGATGAAGAGCCATTGATGCGAGCCACAAGAGAGACAAATTCACCCATGCTTGCTAGCCCATGATCCCGACCATCTCGTGCAATTCCTGTCAACTGTTCTCTTTCCATTTCTTCACGTAAGATAACCTCAAAGTGCTGCTGCACCCTTTCTGTTGATTTAGATGCTATTAGATTTAAACATCCAAAAATAATACAAATTGTATTGAAGTTTTAATTAAAGTTTCTTGTATGTAAACAATTTATGCTGACCCCATATCTCATATTTACATGCAACAAATAAATGCAGTACATAAAAACCACAATATTTATAGCAACTAAAATTATTTATAATCCATGAATGCCAAAAATTAATAGTTAAGCACTTATTCCAACTACTCTCTGTAATAACTTAAAGATCTGGAGTAAAAGTCATCTATATTGTAATGTAACCAGTGTTACGAATAGTGTTGTCTTCTGAAAATGGTTACAGAAATACAGTTGCAGTACGATACAGAAATGTACTGTATTGATGAAAATAAATAACTTACCAAAATAGTCCCAAAGATAGAGATTCTTGCCAAAAAACCGTGTAGATTTAAAACCATAATTGAAGACTTGTTCAAGGCAACAGACAAGACCAAAGTCTCCACAGAGTAGAAGTGTGAGACTTCCTCGCTCCTTCTCTGGCTTGTAGAAGTACTTCACCAAGCTATTGACGGAATCCCCTGACAAAACAATAACATTTTATAATAACTCAAATCACAATAATACTTCATGAATATCAAGATTGATATAAATTTATTATTACAAACAGGTATAAAAAAATTCACACACACCATTTTACTTTCTGCCAATCTCATACTCATTTGTACCACTTAAAACAAATATTTTTGGTGTTTATCATTTCATAGGTAACACTAAAAATGCCATCAGTACAGGCTCCCGGTAGTACAGGAGGGTTTGTTCTTGACGCACAATTGAGAATTCCGGGTTTGAATCCCGGGCGGGACAGAAATGGCATTTCATTTGGTATAAACGGTATCTAGATGGTTGGGTACATTTCCTTTCACCTAATGCCTCTGTTCACCTAGTAGTAAGTAGTTACTCAGCAGTTAGTCAGCTTGTTTTGGGGGTTTGCATCCTGGGAGGGGGTCTGTAATTCACCCTTGGATTGGGGGATGGGGGACGTCAATAAAAACCTAATGTGTATGAACACATTTGAGCTTCCTGTGCCCTGACACAATGAATTACTGTATATTATTAGCTACAATGTGTAACAAAGTGAGAAATGAGTGGTGATTATGCTTTGTACAACAGCTAACATGAACAGTGTGAATGGAAGAGAGTCCGAGGCAACGGCCTCCTGAGTACGATATGACAGGTAAAACGTGTAGCAGGATTGAGACTGAAGGAGGTCAAGATGTACAGTAATTGACAACTGGACAATGTGGATTTAATGATGGAATGGTTTTAGTAACAAGATATTTACCACAAAAAAAGTAAGAAAAATGTAAAAAAAAATTCAAAGAGAGCATGACCTTCATGAATCTGCAGAAAGTGTATGATATATGGAAAGTACAAACTGGTAGGTATTGAGCACATGCAAATGCAAATATGAAAAGATTAAGTGTAGGAGTACATCAAGACTGTAATGTTGGTTTATTCTCACATGTGAAATATGGAATTAAAAAACTATTTTAGTATCCCCTAGATTTTTTTTTATGCTTCATAGGCTTTTTTTTTTTTTTAAGCTACATAAAGCAAACCATCAGCTGGGTGTAACCGCAATACCTCACTTAAGAAAAATAACCCCATAGTTGTGAACAAAAACCAAGAATCTCAAAATTAAAATGAAGCATATATTTTGGTATTAAGTATGCTCAATAGGTTTCTGAAGGCTCCTTACTCTTGCTTGTAATGTTGCACCCATCTACAAAAGTTATAAAAAATGTGATTGAACCCATATGTTAACATTCATGCCTAATATTTTTCACGCACTATATTTTTCACCAAGCAAAATTATAACTTCAACCAGTCATGTAAAGGGCAACATCGAAGAGAACCTGTCTGTAAAGAGATTTAAGCACATCTAGCATATTTCTCGTGCCCAAGCCTCGATATCTCATTTTCAAATTAAAAAGGGCCCATTTGTTATTTAGCGTGCTGCAACTAGCAATAAACAACAACCATAAAATTTGGTTTTAAAGATGCTCAGTGGTTTTCCCATGTCCCCAACTATTTCTTATAATGTTGTCTCTATCTGTGAACTCAGCCCCAACCTCCTAAGCTGTTCCTCACATGCACAACTTCTTGTTCGTCGAATTGGGCGAGTAAATCCAGCATAGAAAATGCATGTTTCAACTGGAGATTCACAGAAATGAGGTTCCACTGTATTTTTAATCATAACTTTAAGACTGCACCATACCTAGGTGCTGCTGTATATCAGGAACTGTAAGTCTCAGATCTGAACGTCTTGGCCCAGGAACATTCGGGGACCTGCAGCGTGGAGGCGTTCGGCAAGATTCTACCAAATCATCTGAAGTAACGTGGGACGGAACCAACTCTCCAACAAGAATTCGTTCAAGTGACCCATCATCTATTCCACGGCCAAGCCAACGTCCACAGGGAAACCTAAATTAAAAATAGGGAAAACATGGGATATAGGCACTATAATCAATAGCACTCTTCCTATCTTATGAAATTAGTTTCTAACAATATTTCCCACATTTATCCATTTCATACAAATTTCCTGGAAATATGTGCATGAAAATTTGTAATATAAAATACATTACTGTATAGCAAATAACACTACATATTGTATATTAAGAATAAAAGTAATCTTTATTGGCTTTACTTGGCTAAGATATTATAGTACAATACCATTCTGAGACCATTTATGTGGGGTAGTTCATACAATTAATAAATTCATGGTTTTAATATTATCAGATATAGTTTTAAATTTTCAGTCAGAAGGTAAGTAGAGAGAATCGATGAAGAGAAAATATGGTGGAAGGATAAAATGAGTGCTTGAGTGTCCATGTGTTATTTATGGAGGTGTATATGTTCTGCAAAGATAAGAAAGTTTGCTTGAAGCCAGTCACTTGCTACTACGTTTTAAAGTGAGAATTTGTGAATTTTCTTAAAATTATGTGCAAATTACAGTCTCTACATCTGCAATTATTCTGTCATTTTAACAGTTGTTTACATTTTGTGCAGAACAAAGTTGCATTCCTGTATTCTAGATAGAGGAGAACAAGGTACAATTATGTGTAACTTACTTCCAGGTGTGTCCAGCAACTTCATTTCTGACTAGTACATGTTCCACCATCCACTTGGGAGACATACCCGTGTTGTCATGGCCAATTCGTAATGTTGTCAGCAAACCTAAATTTTTGTGCTGCACAAAGAAAATTTTCTTTAATTTAGGAATAAATATTATAGATTAATACAATTAAACTAATACGACACTTCTAGCATTCAAGAATTGGGTAATAAAGGCTTCATCTTCTCTGAAATCGTTGACTCTGGCCAGCCTGTCCTGTACATTGATCTTATTTACAACCAAATGTTGAAAGTTTTGATCGTTTTTATGTTGATGAACTATTTCTTCTATTTTTCCTTACTGTATAATAAAACAGCTAAGAGGAGTTGATAAAATATATGTACGGTATATGGCCCAGATATGTTTAGAAATACTGTAACATGTTTTAATGTGCAATATCATACAGTACTAAAATTACAGGCAGAATGCACTTTACATGACAACATATAATGAAATGTCATAAATACAAAGAAAAAAAGAATTTTTAAACATTTTATCCTTCAAATTGCCACTTGCTGCTAGATTACTCTTGGAGATTAAGTCTTGGTGGATCAGTCAGTTTATTCTAGTGTGTCACGATGCCATATAATATAAATTATGGCCTCCTGCATCACGATTTCTTGCACCAATAATACTGACTCAAAGAGAAAATACATTAATGTGGATTCTTTAAGTGTGGTTTTGAGCTACCCCACACATGAGCCATCTCACATCTCGTATATGCAGATCACATCATGCAGGCAGAGGTGTTCAATGCTGCTCATTGTATAAGCATATAAATGACAATACCTACTCAAATGCACCACAAACTACCCACGAGACAGCAAATCCACTAACAAACCAGCCAGTCAGCAAGCCAGTCAGCCAACCAACCAACTTGCTAAGAAATCTACTAGTTGGCAAGCCATCGGTTAAATCTCCCACCCACCCACCAACCATCGGCTAGCATCCCAACTTGGTTGCACACCTATCTGCCTGTCTCACTAATTAAAACAGTTGCACCCACCTGCCCTACCTTAGTCACTCACTCATTGATTCTTGGTTTGCTTTCATTTTCAGCCAGCTTGTTTACTATTTTTTACAGTACTGTATTGTGCTAATATTTTTTTACAGTACAATACTAAATGTCTCTTTTTTATATATTAAAAATGTCTTGAAACATAGAAATTTATGGGGAAAAACTGGATTGTAAAAACGTAATTGGTCTAAATTTAAATAGGAAGGGGGAGGCGAGGGGGATTAGGCACAAGGAATTTATACAGGGTGTCAGGGAATGTACGAGGTACCTAGGAATCCATGTGGGGTGGCAGGATTGTAATGTTGTACAGTTCATGTTGGGGGCTATGATATTAATTTCCACATACAATATGAACTGCCTAATATAAACTCATAATTACAGTAATTAAAAAACTGTATATAAACAAGAAAAATTATAATATAAGAATTGTAATTAAATTCTACCTGAAAAACAAGTTCCACTTGGCTTCTTGGTACAGGTATATTTGACGTTTGGCCAAGAGTGCCACCAAGACTGACCCAGGCATTCGCTGATGTACTGGCCCCACTCAACTTTCGTGATGGAAATATCACCACTCTATATGGCACAACTGAAAGAGAAATAATGAAATATAAACACAAACTAAGCCGACTAATACTAAAATTATGTGAATGCAATACAATGGCACCTTGTTTGAATGGACCGAGACTAGACCTGTTCTGTTTTACCAACGATCCCAGCCCACTGATTGCCGTGCTATTTCTCACTACTGTATTAAAAAATATTTTGTTATTTATGGCCCCAAATGATAGAATACAACTTGTGCATATATAGATAAACATTATTATTATACAAAATATTACATTTGAAATATACTTGAAAGTAAAATTAGGAAATATAAAAACAAAAGATAAAAATTTAAAAACAAAAGATAACAATTTAAGGAACGTGTGGGTAATAGTACAATAGTGACGCATACAATACAAAACAAACCCTTTTACAAAATTGTTACACTACTGTATATTGTTGCATAAACAATTTGTCTCAGCTCCTTATCCTTTGATTTGGTGAGTATTTTTCACTTTGAACAACTGTCTACAATATGCACCTTAAAACAAGCATCTGCACAGAGAAATATTGGTAACCCTATCAACTAGGTACACTCTCGTTAGCTTGTAACCACCGCTTGTTAAGTATGACCCCCACCCACCAATCAACTTAAGACATGTGGTGGTGTGAGGATCCCAGGCACACCAATCCCATGCATTCAGACCATCAAGATACATCTCTCATACAAGGTCTCTGCTTCCATTTTGTTACACAACAGGAGAGAAAACCCTGAGCACCTGAGCCCATACAAGACTGCATAAGACAAAAGTGGCTGTTGCTTAACTAAATGCCCCCCTACCCCAGCTACCACAGAAGCCCAGCCACAACATATTGTATAAGGAATCCAGACAGGAAGGCAGAAACATGACGAGTGCCAACTGAGACATACACGACCACAAAGCACCTGAAAAAGATACATGGATGTTCTATACCCTGCAATAGGACAGTACATGAGTACTCTCTCATGGCAACTTACCTACCAGAAATGTCCATTTTTTTCTCAGTATTCATGGGTTTATATACAAGGATCATTATTCACATATTTTCTACAGGCTCACATTATGAGGCAATAACAATAGATTGGACACCACAAGAACAATTAAGGGAAAGCAATGATACTGACACAGTTATGGATAAGCATTACTCATAAAGGTAGAGTAATATTACAATGAACTTAGTTTTGTAACATATGCAGCAGATTTTTAACTTAGAGGGCAACCGAATGTAACAGCTTGGAAGATTATTAGATATTTATATAGTACCGGTATTAGAAAATCATTGTTCATACGTGTGTAAACAACGCACAAGATGTACTCTTATCATTTATCGTAAGAAAACCATCTAAAATTAAAAAAATCTTTATAATCCAGAATTTACCTAAAATTCAGAATGGTAATTCAGCCCAAATTATCAAAGTTCATCTGTGTAAGAATCTGTTTAGGGAAAAAGTAACAAAATAATCTAAACTTTACAAGAGCTATTTATCACTTACTTGTGGAAGTGTAAGTACTTGTGAAGCAGAAGTAGTCTACAGCATTCAGGGAGAGTAAATAAGACAGGAACTGCTCCTTCTCATCATCACAACGAAGAAAAGCATAGCGTTTGTACAAGCTTCGTAGTAGTTCTGAATCACCTAGGAGAGCTGTCAGGTGTTTAGAGAGAACCTTCTTCTCCAATGAAAGTCTCACCCAGGCCCGTGCATACCCAATGTGCGTCTTTATTTCTGTCATTGCCAGCACATTACGCATATCAAAGGTGACCGATATAGGGAGTGGACGTAAGGTTGGAATGCCAGGATCAGAGGGACGTGATCGGCGGTCGATGCTACGGTCACTAGGCCACCGCTCGTGTAACGATTTTTTCCGTAAACTGTTAGTGTTGCTCGGGGACTTTGTTGGTGATGCAGGTGCACTCTCAGTCTCCAGTGCCATTGTTGATAAGTCTAATAAGGAGAAAAATGTATCATAAAACAGTCTGGAAAATAATTCCAGAAGTAAAACTATAAATTGTCAATAAAATATCTTGGGCATAAATTTAACTCTCAATACACAAGAATGTCAAGGAAACCATCTCTCAGTTTGTTAGAAATACAGTAGGAAGTTATGTATTAAAAAACTGATAGATGTACCTATGAAATGAAAAACCCAAGAATTAGCTGTTAAAATTACAGTACTGTACTGTATATTTAAATTACCAACATATATATTTTGATTAAAATCATGCATTATATAAATTAAACAATCTGTACCATAAATAAGCAGTATTATATCCAAACAGAAAGCAGTTTTCAGGACACACACTAAAGAAGATTAAAAAAAAAAACACCAAAGCCACTTACCAAAAGTATATGCAAATTGTGAAGCCAGATACCCAAGACCACTAATGTTACCCAATTTAATGGACATGACAATCTCCGACAAGGGTGACAAACTGCTAATCTTTGGTGAGGTGTTTTGAGGAACTGAAAAATAATTGCGAGCCCTTCTGAGTGTGATTCACACACCGAAACACTTTCAGCCTTGTTACGTTAGTGGAAACTAGAGACATTTAAATAAGTTTTAAGGTTGGCGGGATTATAAATCTATAAGAGCTAATGAGGATTTTGTTAGTTTTAGTGCAACAACTACATGTCACAAAGCCAGAAACCTATTGTATAGGTTACATTATACAGAGTGTCCCGTAAGTGGAATCATGTCCTGTCTAAACCATGGTACAAGAAGTCTGGAACCATGGCCCAATAAGTCTGGAACCATAGCCCAATAAGTCTGGAACCATAGCCCAATAAGTCTGGAACCATCACATGTGACCATTTACCATGTGATTACGGATTGGATGCCTCATTTGCATTTCTTTATAAATCATAATGGTAGTAGACACTTGCAAAATAAATAGAATGCAAAATAAAAGCCAGTTTCATCAGTGCATCCTATGATTTCAGATGTGTGGAAAATATTTCCAGACATATGGGAAATGATTCCAAAAGTATGGGAAATTATTCTAGACATAGGACTATTCATAGACATTCTATAGGAAATGGTTCCAAATGTATGGGAAGTGGTTCCAGACATGTAAAAAATGGTTCCAGAAATATAGGAAACAGTTCCATATAGAAAATGGTCCAGGAGTATGAGAAACAGTTCCGGCTGTATGGGACACCCTGTAGACTAAGGCTTAAGACCTTTACCATAAGCCATTAAAAGTGTTTTTCTTGTAAGTATAGAATAAACTAGCAGCATTGGTGGTCAAAGATGTCTGGAAAGGCAGAAAGATATACAGTGTACAGTATATAAAAAAAAGGAGATACACAACATTTAGTGTTACAAGCAAGTGGCATTACATGTGTATCTTACACACACATGCACAAAAAAGACAAACAAAAAGAAACGTAATGTTTTGTATGGATGAAGAGAAATGCACTTCTAAAAGATAACTAAATTGAAAAGGAAATTACCTTAAAGAATAAATTAGAATTCTCCTCAGGCAAAGAACTCATGCTCAGCCACCAAGAATTCGATACTGTATAGCACAGGGTATACTGTATATCTAAAGCAGTGCTATTATAAACATTTGTATATTGTAATCTGCAAATGCATATGCCCACCCAATGTTTAGGCTAGCTTGTGGCATGAAAACTTGTTGAAGCACTATATCTTATACAACAGTATAGAAGTACTTGCACGCACGTGAACACGCTGCCCAATAGATGAAAGAAGATGGGATACCATGATCTTGAGCAATATCAAATAAACCACAAATAAGTATACAATAGTTAATCCCAAACATACACACAGTACATGTATACTTATATAGTGCTCCCTTTTAACAACAGTATTAACACAAAATTTGCAATGTTCAATTTAATTTTTGATTTGTCAGCTTTAAAGAATAAAATCACAAATATAATCAAAAGCGGACAAACCAAGTTCTTTCACACATTCCTTCAATACCTAACATAATAGCTTATTTGGTTTTACTACCTCAATTCCATCAACAATTAATGAGTATTTCAAGTGTAAGATTAGTTCATCAATGCTTTTGTTCAATACAATGAAAGACACAAAGAGTTCATTAATGCAAATCAGTGGTGGATGTGCACTAGCTTTTGTGCTTCTCCTCTCTCGTTTCTACTACTGTATATTCACAACTTCCCTGCTTTGTCTCTGGTAGTGTGTGCTAGTGCGGTACAAGGTATATGGCTGGTTTCTTATCCTCCAGTATTTGGTGGCATAGCCTCTTCTAAGGCTACCCCCCCCCCCCACCCCCACCCCAAAGAGTCTTGCCTTACCAGAGGTTTTGTAGTTGTATTCATTTTCCTTATTTTTGTTTCAACAATGGCTACTTGTTTTTGTGAACAGGATTGTATGTGTGCAAGCCTAGGCCTCCTGCCATGTTTATTAAGTCAATTATGTATTTTTTCTGCGCTGTGTAGTATCTAGTGAACATTCATTGGCTGTGACTTGTGTTTGGTGGCCCAATTTTGCTCCCAGTGGAGTTGTGGCTTTGCAGCGGTCCTGAACCCACACTGATTTTTATAATTTATCAATGAACAATTAAGCTTTTAAAATGCATTTTTGAGGGTACTATACTATGAACTGAAAGCTGATTTCTTTTCTGAAAGCTGAAAAAGTAAATACAGGGGGTCCTTAACTTGCAGACATCTAATCTTTTGAACAGCTTCCAAAGCGTGATTTTAGCATCTCGATTATCTTTACAAATACATTATGTGACTCCCATAATATGAATTGTTACTTTTATGTCTGCATGGTCAAGTGAGGTGCCACTTTTATGTCCATACAAACTGCTGATGCCCTGCAGCTAACCCACACTACCCCCATCAACAATACCTTCACAACCAATACAGACCAGCAGTGCTTTTTGCAGGCTAGTTCAGCCGTTTATTGAGGGGAACTTTATAATTACCTTACCTTGCATTCTTATCAGGTAGGGAAAGCACTAAGCCATTACAACTATATAACACTTGGAAGGGATGGGAGGATAAGGATTTGGGATAGAACCCAGGAAAGGAAAGGTGCCCAACCACTTGGAGAGTTGGGATTGAATGTCAACCTGCAAGAAGCAAAATCAACATTTTACCGTCCAGTCCAAATGGTTGGGCTACCTAATAAGAAGTGTGTTGGTGAAACATCAGTTTCTAGGCAGAGGCTATTCATTGCCCCTGAAATAAAACTTTAGGTAAGCAAGTACTCTGAGAAGTAAGAAACATCATCGTCATATCACACATGTCTTTGATGGTAACTGCTCCCCAACTGGGACTATTACTACGTGCAAGTCTAAAATTTTAGACCAAATAAAGAGATCTACACCACCGAAATTGACGTTAACAAGAAAAATGACTCGTGATTTGCGACATGAAAAAATTTCAAACACTCCGAATGAAGGACCAGAATCCTTGTAGAAATTCTTTAGCCTGATATTCATCTAGGAGAAAGGTAGAATTCTATATTCATAAAGAATTGCAAAAAAAACATTACCACAGGCCCTAAACATCTTTTGAAGACTGGGGTCTAGATACTAGCACTATTCCTGACATACAGTACTTAAAACAGCAGAGATTGCACCACTTCATACAGGAGGTAGTAAAGCAGATGCAAAAAATTATAGACTAATAGCTCTAATATCACAGATCATAAAAATCTTTGAAAGAGTGCCAAGAAGTAAAATCACAAAACACATGGAATCAGTGTCTACATAACCCTAGGCAACATGGTTTCAGGACAGGGCGCTCCTGCCTCTTACAGTTGCTAAACCACTATGCCTTAGATACCATGGAGGACAGGCAAAACACTGCTGTAATATACACAGATTTTGTAGAAGCTTTCGACAAATGTGTCCATGATGTTACTGGACACACAATGAAATACTGGCAAAGTAGGGAGATGCATCTTTAATTTCCTAATGAAGAGAGCTCAAAGTACAAGTCAACAAAGAAAAATATGGATCTTCCACCATGAAAAGCAAAGTGCCCCAAGGTACTGTGCTTGCTCCATTTTTTTCTCATCCTCATATCAAACAGACAGGGGAAACAAATTATAGTACTGTATCATCCTTTGCATCTAGTGTCTAGATGACACTAGAATTTTCAAGAAATTAAACAATTCAGAGGGCACAGAAAACCTCCAATTGGATGCTAATCAAGTCTTTCAATTAGCCACAGAAAATAATATGATGTTTAATGAGGATAAGTTCATTCATTTAATGAGATAAGTACATTGGGAAAACAAAATATCAAAACAGAAATTACGTATAAAATGCAGTCAAACCACACTATCGAAAGAAAAAGCAATGTAAAAATTTACGATTAATCATGTCAAAAGATAATTGTGTTCTTTTAAAGAACACAATAAAGTAGCTGTCATAACTGCAAGAAAAACTACAGCTTGGGTAACAAGAACCTCGCAAAAATGAGATGCCACACCAATAATGATACTTTTAAGATACTAATGCTCTTTAGAGAGAACTATTGTGACACACTAACAGCCCCTTTCAAAACTGGATAAATTGCTGACCTGGAGAGCATGCAAAAAATCTTTTGCTGCTAGAATCCATTCAATCCATTAGAATCCAGAATCCATCCATTCAATAAAACATCTAAATTATTGGGACTAATTAAAAATGTAAAATCTGTATTCCCTAGACCACAGGAGGGAGATATATAATAATTTACACATGGAAAATACTAGGACTAGTTCCAAATCTGCACACACAAATATCACCACAATAGCCCAAAAGGCAGGATGTGCAAAATAGCCCCATTGAAAAGCAGAGGTGCAAAAGATATGCTGAGAGAGAACTTAATCAACATCAAAGGCCCAAGACTTTTCAATACTCCTACACCTTTGGAGCATAACTGACTGACCTCTCGCAGTATTAAAAAGAGAACTTGACAAACATCTTCAAAGGATACCTGATCAACCAGGCTGTGCAGACGTCAGACTGTAAACAGCCACACCAAACAGCCTGGTTGACCAGACAACCAACCAGGAGGCCTGGTCACAGACCAGGCTGCAGGGATGTTGATCATCAGAATTGTCAAGAGGTAATATGACAGATTGAGGCATGACACGCTTGTGACAAGTCGTGGGTGATTTAATAGATTTAAGGCTAGAAACAATTTACACAACATTAAAGTGAGTGCTTAGCTATCAGTGACTACCGAGCAGTGAGACCTAGTTCTTCATGCCCCACTTCCTAGCCATTTATACCCAGTGCTTTTATTACATATCTTGAAGTTCAAGTTGATGACCAAACCACACATCAAAAAATGAAGAAACTACAACATTCCAGTCTGTCCTGAAGTTTGATAATAGTATGACCAAGTTGTGATCATACTTTTAACAAATAGTATGATCACACTAGACAAAACATCATTGTTTCTTCATTTTATGATGTGTGATTTGGTCATATCTTCAGCCACATTACTGTCACTCAGCAACTGACTACTTGCAGACCCTTGTAAAGGGAACAAAAGCTTTCTTACATCTCCACAACACAACAGTATATCCAGCTTCAACCAATGTCTCCTCCTTCTACCTCCTTTCAAATTAAATAAGCTGCCCTTGTCCATGTTGTCTATTCCCCTCAGTATCTTGTATGTAGTAATTATGGCCCTTCTTATTCTACTCTCCTTTAAGAGTGCAAGGTTGAGTTGCCTTAATTAACCTGTCCTCACAGCCAAGCCCTTTCAATTCTAGTACTAACCTAGTTTACAAAAATCTATACTTTCTCAAATTTCCAGTTATGCTCCAGAAGGTGCAGATTCCATGCTAATACTATATTCCAGTAATGGAGTCATATTAGCAATGTATACCAGTGATTTCAAACCTTTTTACATGGTAGAAACCCCTAAAATGGATCAGGAGCATATGATATGCAAGACTAACAAATATTTCTTACAAAATTATATTTATTTATTTTGTGATAAACATTTATGTTACATTCTGTTTGGCATATATTTATCCAGGTACAGTATTTCCTAAATCTAAAGTTATCCAATATATATCCCTTGTGTCATGTTTTGTGTTGATATATTTAAAACCTTATTTATATCTCTTTTGTTATAACCATTCATCCATTTATTTACAGTAATGTATTTCTTTCATGTCACCCCTTATGCTTCCTCTTTCCAAAGAATTTAAATTAAACTTTTCAATTTATTTTCCTAGCAAGGGTTCTAATTCTTGGGATTAATGTTATCATCCATCTCTGTCCATGTTCAAGGGAATTTATGTCCATTCTATAGTACGGAGACCAAACCTGAATGGCATAATCTAAATGGAGCCTAATAAGGTTAAGAATGAAGAATGCCATTAGATATCTTGTTTCCAATGGTAGTAGGAATAAATCCTAATATCATATTTGCTTCATTCTGTGCATATATGTATTGACTTTTTGGCTGAAGATCCCTACTAATCATGACTCTCAGATTCTTATTACATTCAGATATATTAATTTTAGCATTATTACTCCTTCAGGGCATCTAGTGCTTTAGTGTACCTGCAATTAAAGTTGTGAATGGAGGTGGCAGCCACATCATCTTCCCCAGTTCATAATATTAACTTACCCCTCCCACAATTTATTCATTTGTTTCATTTTCCACCTATGTCCCCTAATTCTATTTATACTTGTGAAAAATAAGACTACCCTTCCCCACCTCATGTATCCCCCTCAGTATTTTATATATTGTGATCATCTCCCCTCTGGCCTCTCTATTTTCTAGTGTTGTTAGACTAAGCTTCCTCAGCCTGTGTATCAAAGAGTAACTCCTGCATTTCTGACATTTTTCTAATAGTAAATTTCAGAACTTATTAAACTTTCTTGTACTGCACAAGGTGGGTTTCCATGCTGGCTCTACATACTCTATACAATTTGTTCATGCTGGTTCTACATATTGTATTCTAAGTGTATATGAATGATTGTGTTTATGTTTATAAATTCCACTGTATGCTTACCAATTTTACAAAAGATGTCAGTATTACTACTTGTGTTTTCCTGCAGCACCATGCACTTAAGTACTACAGTGTTTTAATATGCTTTCAACCATTCTAATTTACATGTTACTTGTCCCAATGCTTATTTAATAATAGTATTAAAAAAGTAAATTAAACTATCAGATTTAAACATAACAAAACTGGAAAATTCTGGCTTTTTCATTAATATAATGTTTTAGAAAATACTACAAAAACTCAGACTATAATCGGGGGAAATATGAACCAAACAAGCACCATTAAATTCAGATAAACTAGGACCTATTCATGCATTCCCAAATACTGTACTATGGTCTAAAGGAGTAAGAAATCCAACGTACAATCAATACGTTTCCTGAGAATACACCAGGCCATGGCTGCTTGACCAACGAGGAAGGAAAGGGTTAGTAGTTAGCAATTCTATGGAAAACATCTTTTAAAATGCCTATGAATATCACATTACAGTAATGATGAATATGTTTTTTTAATTACAGTATTCATATACATACTGTAATTACTATAATACACACACACAGAAATTACAATAGCGTGATATATATTAAATGAACAAATCCACAAAGGCCGTGATGAGGGTTTGAACCTATGCACGGGAACCAACTAATGCGCAGCTGGGAACATCCCGAGCATAGGATTAAACCCTCATCACAGCTCTTGTGGATTTGTTCACTGTAACACACTTTTTAATCCCTTTCCACTTTCCCATATTCTAAGCAGCTGCAACATGATGTTCTTGAATTACAGTATATACATATTATTTATTAATAATCAAACTCTGAACATTGAAACATAATAGTAACTCTGAAAATGTTGACTTCAATCTGTACCTAACCCAGGTGTTCATGAATGATAACAGTATTAACAGCTCTCATTATTTAAAAAAAAAAGGAGATACTGTATATGAAAGTATAAAAAGTGAGAGTTAGATTAATTAGTGCACAGTTGAAATAAAAATGTAATGAATGAGATAAGATGAAAACAACAAAAATGGAAAAAGATAATTGATGAAGTAAAATATGAAGTTTTAACATGTATAATAATCCCATAACTAGGGAACCAATGCGAGGTTTAACACAAACAAAAAACAAGGAGAATAGACAGTCCTTGTAGGCCTACTTCTCCATATAACATAGAACACTCATTCACATTTTAAGCATAGGTACTGTACAATCAATGGAATGTATTTACAGACTGGTAGTTTTCGTACACATCTAATTACAATATGGCACACAGATAAGGGGAAACCATTTAACATTGACAACAGCCACAAGCAGGACTATTTATGCCAATCTTTCAGCTGTTGCACTTATTATTTTACCACGGACACCTTCCCAGCATTCTCGACAAAAAATCCTCCCAAAATGTTCTCCTTATCCACAGAGGCAAAATTTACTCATACAGTATATTCACACAGTATTAATAACTGTTTCTCTATTATAATGGAAAGTGGTCCATGCAATATCTTGTTTAAGCACCAAGTTACTGAATATCCATCAACCAATCATTCCCATTGGTATAAATAAAACCATAATTCTACATTTATGGTAAAAAAATATTTTGATTGCTATAAGCCAATGCATATTCAAAATAATTGTGAATAATTATTACCGATGTATTACAGGGATTACGATGTATTGTAGGTTAAACAGAGAAAATAACATTATTCATGAATGTATTTTATGCCTCTTGATCTAATATATAGAGTAAGGATGAGCATCTGTGTGTTTGGTGGGGTCTTACATACAGGGGTAAAATTACCGAGCCCAGTGGACACACACACTGTTTATTCCTCCTTTAGCCGAGTCAGCCTCCAGTCTTGGCTGGTGCATGTGTGTTTCAGCCTCTCCTACTTTGTGTGAAGGAAACTGAGTAATTGATCCTGTATTGTTTAGTCACCTTAGACCAGGACGGGCTGTGGGGACGTTGAGCCCCGAAATCATCGCATGGTAGGCTCTATATGCAGACGATGAGTCATAACTTGGCTGAAATATGTTGACCAGACCACACACTAGAAAGTGAAGGGACGACGAAGTTTCAGTCCGTCCTGGACCATTCACAAGTCGATTGTGAGAATCACAATCACATTCACAATCAACTTGAGAATGGTCCAGGACCGAAACATCGTCGTCCCTTCACTTTCTAGTGTGTGGTCTGGTCAACACGGTAGGCTCACAAGGTGGTTGCTCATGCTTCTCTTTTGGTTGACCTCCTGGGGCCCTTGTACTTTGTGGTGGTTGTCTTCACAACCTCCACCAATTCTGGCAGCTTCTAAATACTCCTGGCTTGAGTCTGTGCAAGCATAAGAGAGCATAAGAAGACTAATACTACGGGCATCACTCTCCCTAAGGATGTATCCAGAGGCACTGATCCCATTCCAGTGTTCTTGTCCTCTTCCCTTCTATGTATGAGAGGATCCAGCTTTTCCATCCCAGGCTAAGTTAGACACCCTCTTTGGGTGTCCCTGGCTTTAATTCGCACTTTATGTGGAACTTTAGCTCCAGAACTTATGCGCTAATACACTTTTCCTGAAGCAGTTACTTCAGAGGATGCTTAGGTTCCTTTGACCATTATTGGGCATTGGTATCCAAGTCTGGTCTCTTTCTACATGTCAAGCAGATTTTGTACCTTCTTGTTCCAGTTCCAGTATGTTGCATCCACCTTGGATTCAATTTAGCCAGCAGGATAAATTCTAGGATGTGCTGATCCTACACAGGTTCTTGCAGTGTCAACTCCTTTGGCAGGCAAAATCTGATTTGCTGTTGTTGCCATTGCAGGGCAAGAACCTTGCATCTGAACTGGTTCCTTCAATAAGTTACATTAGAGTAAAAGAAGGAATGTTTTATTTCAGGGTTCCTAACAAAAATATACCAGGTGGTAACAACATTACAGTAGAACAAAAGTATTATTGGAAAACTGTCTACTGTAGCAGAGAGCCTAGTAAAGTTATGCCTCACCATAAGACTGCTAGCAAAGATGATTTTATGGTGATACATAACTACTGGTCAAAGTCCACTACAACAAAGATTTTTCCAGAGATGAGGTGGTAGCATGGGGTTTCTATAACAAAACCTATCATACAACAAATGGGCATATTAATTCTTCGGAGCAAATGTACTAATTACTGACCTGGTGAGAGGAAATTGGGATTCACAGGCTTTGAGGAGTCATTACATTCCTCTAATTCCTGGAAGTTGAGCAAGTGAGACCACAAGGCTGATTTACCCTGTGTAAGAAAATATAACAACAATACATATAGATCACTTTAAGAATATTGCCCGTGATAAAATCTCAACACTTTGGCGGTCCAACTACTCTGCACTCTCCCGACTGCAAACTTTCCAGGTTTTCTTTCCAGAAATGATGCAAAAACTAAAGTGTATTTATAATACATTATGCATGACAGATTTGAAAGTTTACAAAGATTGTAACATTCATTTATTATTCATTCTAAATAAAAAACCACAGAAGTGTAAACACATGATCAATTTATACGCCAGTATAAATTGATCATGTGGTTGTGTGAAAAACAACACAATCACAACTTTAGAAGTTTTCTTTCAAGTAATTTGCAAACTAAAAAAATAATAAGTGCCCTCAAAGCTAGTATGGTCTGCCAGAGACAAAAATTTGTACAATCATTTTAAATTTTCTAAATTATTTGATAGGCTATATATAACTACAAATTTAGTATCAAAATGTTTGCAAACTCTCTAGAATATACAGTAGATGCAGAAAAAAAAGTATATTATAAAAGATTATGTGTGACAGTGATGAAAATATGAAAAGTTTATGTTGCAAATGAATCTTCATGGGTGAGAGGAGGCTCTCGAGTCAGTCCACTCATGTCCTAGATATGCTCTGTCCACGGCTATATTTGTTAGCTTTTGGACTACATTGTTGATGCAAACAGAATAACTCTGGAACTGAAGATGAAAAATTTAGTAATCAGGTGATGTGTTTTAGCATCTTTGGAACGTTCATTGTCAGAGTACAGATAATGTGTTTAATGTCGTTGGAACGCAAAAGTGGTAATAATCTATAAGATTGCCGCTAGATCTAAAAAAAAATAAAAAATAAAATGCTCTTAATTATTAACATGTACAGTATTCACATTGCCAGGGAGTGAGAGAGAAAACTTAAGAATGGATATTTAAATGAGTGAGCCTCAATGATGCCAGTAGTATTCAAGACAAGGTGTCAGGTCATCTGCTTATTACTGCCGAGTACTATTATTATTATTATTATTATTATTACTGTATTATTATAATAAACATATTACTCAATTTTCACATTAAAACACTGTTCATATACAGTACTAGTATTTAATGACACCAGTATGATGCCACAAACATTACTATTTCAGACTTTATATTTACCATATTCTAATGGCTTTTTAATAATAAAAATCATACAATATTAATAATTGTTTAAATTCAGAGTTCTTTATGGTATTTTTTCTATTACAGTATTACTAAAAGCATTGTTATAACAAGGAAAATGTCAACCAAACATCCCCGAGTCAATGGTGTAACATTAGTGTGGTCATGCAGAATATATGGAGTATACTGTACTGTACTGAATTATATTACAAGTCAACATCATAATTTATTATAAATACAGTAAGGTTTTAAAATGTAATTTTTTTTTTTTACCTGTTTACTTTGAAGACCATGGGCCCAAACACGTTCAAGAAGGTCACACAGTGAAGCAATGAGCGTGTTCTCCTCCACACCTACCAAACTGCCTTCTCCGTGACCTAGCTCTACTGCCTCCGACCCCATCTTCTCGACCAGCATTCGTTTTGTGCGTGTTTTGCATTCCTTAAAAAAAAAAAAGGGGGAAGTACACGTATGAATAACTATAGCTAAAATATTATATTGAGAAATAAACCTGTGACTTTTATTAATCCCCCATGAACAAGTGCATGTGGTAAACTTTTACAAAACACCAGACCAAGGGTTGGACCAACCCAGACCACTGGGTTGACAAAACTTAACCACTCATTGCAGCTGATATACATAAGCTTTAGTGCAGAGCAGCAGTGACCTAGGATTAAATTAATTAACTGTCCAGCAACTCATGACAAGAAAAAGTCAAACAGCACCAAAGTAAATCAATCTGAGAGAGAGAAAATTATGTATTTAGACATGCATAAAACAAGGCTTGATGTTAAGAGGACTCCATCAAAAGAAGCTAGCCTTACTTTTGACAAGGAAAGATGTGTTAGGAGAAGGAGGCACAGGCAGTGCATAGAGAGGAATACTGTACTTTGCAAAGTCTGATGAAAATTGTACTACATAGATCAATGATGAAGTCTGACACCTTAATAGTGCCAGCCTATATGAAGAGGGTGGGAACTTGGGTGCATTGGATGATCCATCTAATTATTAAGTAATAATGAAGCATCTGGCTGAGTGTAAAGGACAAGCCAGCCAATTGACTCCCACCACTACCACCGTCTGCTGCAACTTTAACCTTTTCACTGTTTTCATATTACTGTATATACTTTATAGCATGTGATGTTTAAGCATGATGAGGCCTTTTTTTTTTTAATGTATTTTGGGTGTTTGTCAACTTCCCTACTTCCCCCCCCACCCCCCACCCCCAAATGAACTGAAAAGTGTGATGCTTACATGTATATTTATCTGGAAAATAAAATTGAAAAATAAGCTGGAATAAGAGGGAAATTCTAGACTATCTGATGAAAAGAAGAAAGTCATTGTGACAGCTTGAATTATAGAGAAGGGAGAAGTGATCAATGGTGTACTTTAACGCTTAGTGGCCAGCCAGAGGCTTAGGGCCCGTGCAGGAATACCCTGCAAAAAAAGAAACAAAAACAAATATGGTGTATTATAAGTATCTGTACTAGGTCTCCTATTGTATTACCAATTGTAGGTGTTACAAAGCTCATGTGAAAAATAAGGATAGGAGATGATTTCAAAGCACTGCATAGAGCCCGTGACAGGCTATAACGTATGGTGTACTACATTGATTTAAATCAGTTACCCAATCGAATCTACGTCACTATTTGTGGGTGGCACTAAGCTGATGAGGGAAATAATGACTAAAGATGATGATAAAGTTTGGCATGAAGACCTAAACATGCTAGAAAAGTGATCAGATAAATGAATGTTAGAGTTTAAGCCTTACAAATGTAAAATAATGAGGATGAAGAAGAGTAGAAGAAGACAAGAAGAGTAATATAAACCGAAAAGAATGGAAGTTACAGAACTCGAAGAGAAAAATTTGGGTTAGATATCACACTGCACCTCTCACTACAAGTACACATAGGCCTAAATAAAGTATCAGTAGCAGTATGTCCCATTTAGTGAACATAAGAACAGACTTTCAAAATACTTGCAAAGATATTTGTCAAAATACAACAAATTGTCGTGTCAGATCAATACTAGAACATGTGGTTCTAGATATGCAACAAGACTGATACTGGAACTCTGAAGTCTGAACTACAGTGACAGGTTAAGAGAACTGAACCTTCAAAGACTGGAAGAGAACAACTGTAAGAAACACGATTCAAGCGTACAAAACACTAAAAAGGAATAATGGGGTTGTTTATACAAAACTTCAAAACCAGATATAACAAAATCCTGATCAATTTTCCTTCACGGTGCACCAAATACTTGAGAACAAGAGGCAGTCCCAAGAGGTATCCTACCCTAACCACCAGCACTGTTAAGACAAGAAGCCAGACTATGAAATACAAGAAGAGCCAATATGCATATTTTACTCCAGTATGGTAGTACTGCTTACTTGTGATTCTACCCAGTGTGGGAGGTACACACACTAATATAAAAAGTGGGTGGTACCTGTATATCATTGATCCACTACTTCTATTACACTTTTCCACTGTTTAATGGCAGGTGCCTCTCCCTCTAAAATAGTGAGAATGTAGTGGTGACAATAGCAACAATATTGATGATGACATTGACAATGTTGATATTGACGATGGCACTGATGATGATGATACTGACAATACTCTGATGATACTGAAGATGATATTGATGATACTGATGATGATTTATCTAACTCCATTTTCAATTGGTTGTTACAAAAATCTGAAGACAGCTTAAACTAAATATATTTTTAAAGTAACCTTTAAAAGTTGTTCCACAAACTTCCAGTTAGTTTGAGCCATGTGTGCAGGTGACATGTCTGCCAGCTTGGGTTGTAGCTTGGACTTGGCTTCGTGCATCACTCGATCGCGCTGATCCCCTGAGAGTCCGGTGTGCTCCAAGTGTCTTTCTTGTCTTTCACGTCTGCGCCAAGCATGACTGCTACGTTTCTTACTTCTGTAGATGAAAAAGTCGCAGCTGTACATACTCTACTGTAAAACTACGTATCAAGAACTTGACGCTGAGCACATCTGTAGCTAACTTACCTTAAATGATCAACAATATATTATCAAGTTTCTATGAATTAAATATGTGAAACGTCGTAGATAACATCTAGGCTAGGCTATAAGTTTTAAACAGGATAAAAAGCTCGACGTATGGACAGAGTGCAAAACAAAGTCCATAGGTATTTGTGTGCTCTATTATAGCTATTTTATAAACTTCAAAATTAGCTAATAAAAATTAATGAACACTTTTAATTAATAAACACAGACATCACATATACCAACAGTATTATAAAAGCATGAACTAAATATGGTGCCTCTTCATGAGAACAATTGAAAAAGACATCAACCTTCCATAGTAAAGTTATTCTGATCAACTTCATTCACACTTGGGTGAAAGGTGAAAGATTCATTTTAAACAAGGTAACCAGCAAAGTTTACAATCAAGCTTGCACTATATACTCACATCTTACACAGCAACTTACTTGTGAGGCTCTTTGTTCAATGCTATTCTGTCCAGGAGAGGGAAATGGCCTGGGTTGAATTGTGTGCATGATTCTGCCTGAGGGTCCATGGGCTGTGGAGCTGGAGCCCGGTAGTCTATGTGAGCCAGACGCTTCTCCAAAACCTGCTCCGTTTCTCTAATGGTAGTGCACGTCTCGTATGATGGTGTGCGCACTAAACTATCATCATACCGATCCCTGAAAAATATATATATACCACAGTTTACATTTGTGTAAGTCTCGTATGATGGTGTATGCACTAAAGCCTCATACACACCACAGATGAACAATGCTATGACAACTACACTACTAATTACCTACAGTATTAATATCCAAAGTGTTCCCTGGACCACACTCTGGGTGACATTGATGGCACATGTTCATACATTCACCCACTATCATATGTTCTGGGTGGTGGGTGGAATGTTGCTGTTGTTCTCAATTTTTAGTCTTTTCCATCACAATTAAAAGCTAATTCTTTAAGGGTTACTTCTGCAACCAAGATTTTATTTATATATTCATTATACATTCATTACAAAAAAATTGCACTTACCCATTCATTATACCTTCCATACTACTGTATACAGCAACACAGGAAAAAAATAAATGAATAATTCCACCAGTCATCTGCAGCAGAACAATACTGCTTCATAAGACCACGTGCAGTATGTTCCTCATGAATTGTCATATACAGTACATGTAATACAGTACATATAACTATTGTACATATACAGTACAAATACAAATGCATTTACTCCCTTCTTGCAAACCACTTCCAACCAGCCCTTTACATTTTTTTACGAAGACTTCTGAGAGCACTTAATAGTTTCATTAACTCTACACATCTTTCTCCAATGATTCTTTCGTTTATCAAAAGTTTTGATAAACATCATGTTACACCTTACAAACGTTATTTACATACCTTCTCTGAAAACTGACTCGATGCAAACATTGTATTCGACTCCGACACCCCCCCCCCCTTCCTCCACAAACACACTATACCCATCAGTGACCAGTTTCTCACTTATCCATACATTTTTCCACTACATGATATTAAATAACAATAACAATAATTATGAGTTAGTAGTATTTCAAATCTACTGTCAATCCAATTGAAATAAGGGCGAGTATTTTAGTTAAATAAAGTATATTTTGTTGACCATTTATTAAAAATTATTCACAAATCTTGAAAACCATAAAATATAAATTTTGAAAAGCTCTTACCTGAGTAGCCTAATGCGTATATCAAATGTACGGAGATTGGTGTCATGCTTGCCCCAGTTGGATAGGATTTTATGATCTACTAATGTGGTGAACATTTGTGACTCAATGAAACGTGAAAGGAATGGTAAATGGACTTCTGGTTGGTCGGAGAGGAATGTTGCTTTGTCAAAGTTCTGCACTGACTCTCGACAGCTTAACCATTGCTCCATATCGGTTTCCTGCGGGGAAAAATTGTCACTATTTTAGTAATTTTGAAACACAAGAAGAATCGTATGGTGTATCGTCATACACTTTGTACCATACTGTATCTCTCATTTCATGAAGTTATTTTACTGTGTTGATTAGGAATTTGACATTTGAGTATTTTCTATATACTGTATAGATTATATAATATCTTATCTCTATTCCATGAAGTACACTGAGAATGCTCTGAGGCAGCCACAATAGCTATATAATGTTAAACAGCATCAATGAGAACAATAAAATATCTCTTGCCTATATGTTCTTGTGGGAAGGAAGGATTATTTCCTGGGACCCACCTCTTCACTGTTGGGTTTTTGGTGAACAATAATCTAATTTCCTACAATTCCGTCATATCTACAATACTTATAGCCATGGACTGAGCTCAACCTCTTCCTTCTGCTTATTTTACATGTTCATTCCTCATATACATACTACAAGAGTACTTTGTTGTATAACTAACTCACTTGTGTTTCATGTTTCTACCTGTGTCAACTAGCCCTATTCCCCATCTGGAATAGACTGTCCTTGTCAACTTTGTCTCCTAAAAATCTTGTATGTTGTGACCAAGTCTCCTTTGTCACAACATAATATAGGTATGAAATTAGAAGACACTGCTATTTGATAAAAGAACTCGTACTGTGAAAAACAAATTGGCATTTGTGAGAGAATTGGTGAAAGGTAGGCCAAGCTTTTTACCAAGATAAAAGATACCACTGAAATTCAAGCTGATATTCTAGGAAAATAGAAAATCATATGGCATTTTCAATATGCTGTACTGTATTGCAGAAACCATTAGCAAAAGAAATCCATGAACATGAACATAATGTCTTACCTGACAATTAGGTTGGATGACAAAATGATCATAAGCACAAAACATATGAACAAATCTATTTAAGAAAACTTCCCGAACAGCATTATTAAACTTGAGCTCTTCCATCATCTCACTGTCTCTCTCTTTTTTCATTTTATCAACATCATCCGAGTCATACACCCCTGTTGGAAAACTTTATTATTAACTTGCATTATATTTGCCTTTTTCATTATATGCATGTAAGTGATCATGTTTCAGCAGTCAGTTGAGGGAGATATTCCCAGTCCCTGTGCCAGGCATATCTAGTAACACAGGCAATATTATAAATATTCTTAAAAATAAAACGAAAATTACCACTCTTCCTTCGTACCTGTATATCAAAATATGTACAAAGGAAAAACGATTGTGAGTGTGGGTGGTTGTACAGTAGTTGGTTGGGTGGAAGGGTGTGCGTGTGTTTAGGGGTTGAGGTAAATAAGGATGGTGGTAGTATGATACTTTGTTATGGGTGCACTGGGTGCAAGTAGGGGGCATGACTCCTGTTCCAGCTTCTGCATCTACAAGGAATAAGGTTCAACTACAGGGCCCTGCTTTAGAGATTTTTTGCCTGGGGTATTTGTACCTCCTCCCCACCCTAGTGCTCTGTCATACTGGATTTGTAGTTATGAATCGAGGTAGCTTTCACAACCTCTGTAAACAGATGAAACCCATTTGCATCAGTATAAATTGAAAATTATTATTTCATTACATTTCTCTAGCTCATTTTTGTTTCCAATATCCACATGTGAACACTTATAATATTTTTCTGCAAATTGGAGTAGACTTTCCTTTATCCATTTTGTTAATTCCTCTCAGCATTTTACAAGTTGAAATCATATTAGAATCAAGGCTATATTCATTGACACACTCGTCAAGTGTCATTCAATTAAGTTTATTTTAACTGTCCTCAGTTCTCTTATCTTTGGTATTAAGCACGTAGCAAATCTCGGGGCTTCCTAAAAAAAAAAAAAGTGTGCTTCACAAGGTTGATATATGCAGTGTACAATATTATGAATAATTCCCATGTTATTCTATTTAAGTGCCGCTCTGGTTTTCCGAGTGATTCAGATTCTTCCTCTTATACTCCTTTGGCCTCCTTTTTCTAATCACAAATGTTATTGCTTATCACTTGTTAGGATTGAACTCTAACAGGCATTTGTCTCCACTGTCCTACAGTTAATTTAAGTCCACCTGCACAGCCATCTTCAATCCTTATACCATTCTCATAAATTTGGTATCATCTATAAAGATTGTCATGTAAAATCTTACAACCTCAGTCATGTCATTCATGTATGTATATCAGCAACAGTAGGAGTCTAAGAGCAAAGCCCTGAGGGACACCACTAACCACTGCCCTCCAACCTGGTATTTTCCAACACATGCACACACTTTCCCAACACACACACACCCACTTCCAAAATAAACACTCACTTCTGATACACACATCCACTCGCAAGTGAGCCCATACATATCACATGTCAATGTTAGCAGATGATGAAAACTTAATGTGGAGAGTGAGAATTGTAGGGTGCTACAAGAAGATGTTGACAAATTTTAAAAATGGGTAGATAAATGGCTGCTAGAATTCAATCCAAGTACGGTAAATCTTTTTGGAATATTCTGTTGAAGAAAAACACCATTACAAGCTTATGAGCAGATTTTAAAAAAACAAAGCATAAATCACATGGATTTTTCTAAATTAGTAGCATACTCACCAGCTTTCTTGGCAATGGCAGTTATCTCTCTCAGATGTGGGGAAAAGTGAAATGGATCCAAATGATGACTTCTGACGGAACTCGGAGGACCTTGTAGCGGAGAAATGGAGGAAGATGTGGAGGGCGGGAGGGAAGTGATGGAAGAATGAGAACCACTTATGGAACCTTCTGTGCTTGATACACCCGAGTCTGAATCATGGGACCAGGAGTACTTTCGTCTCCTCCTGTATTTGTATTGACTGTGGTGTTCATTTAGGTTTCTGAAAAATTGCAAAATAAATAGGAATTATTTTATACAGTATATCTGTAAATGCTATTTAGTAAAGACAGTAGTGAAAAATGATCAGTGTAAATGCTCCAAGGACCTTTGTAAGCAGAGAGACAACAAATGTATATGAGTGAAGATTTATTCCAACTGCAGTGGCAGTTATCAGTATTATGTATTACGAATGCTTGTGGGAAGTTTCATATACTGTAGTTAGAATTTTCCACGAATAGAGATATGTTGAGAATTCATGAATTAGAACATGACAGTACAAGATGGGAATGGCCAGTGGAGGGTGAAGGAGTTACACAAGAGGAAGTACAAGAAAAAAAAGGTGACCAGTATAAAACATTGACAGGTGAAGAGAGCACTGATGTAAGGTAGACCTGCCATGCAAGACATTGTTAATCTAAAATATTAGCATTTGTGTCTAATGAGAATTCTTTATGTAAATGATGAGTGATGCCATGAGCCTAAGTGAGTGGAATGAATGATAATATTATACAAAATGTATAACGGAAAACCTACAACATAAATTTTTTTTACATTAAAGGATATGAAAAGTGTGAGGACTAATAGTAGATTAAACATATAAAATTAGCTGTACAAATGCAGAAACTTTTTTCACCTAGACAACAATGAATCAATTTTAGCTCACTATTCATGTTTTCTCAAATCATTTTTTTTTTCAGATTTTAAGTAATAAAATATATAAGTTTTCAGAAAGCTTCTTCATTATCAATTACTTGAAATAAGTGCTAATATCCACTTCACCTCACCTGTCTAATTTGCCAGTTGGCACTTCCCACTTTATAAGTAGCTGTGTTAATTCATGAACAAAGTCAGAACGGTGCGGGAACTGGGGAAGATCTTCCGGGACTTCTACTGTGCCTTCATCAACATCTACCAGACACAGATTAGCCTGAAAACAAAGTATATCAAGAATATTTGGTTCTTATTTGTATTTCAGGTTTTCCATTTCAGGAAGTGGCAAACATAATGTACGAAATGCAATATTAAAATGCACATTCACATTAGTATTCCTAGCCACCGTTTCATTTAACTATTTTTAAACTTATTCATCAAATTAATGTTATCTGTTAAGACATTCCTATTTTATTAGATGTTAATACTGTATTTTGAGTACTCAAACACTGGTTGATACCTGGTTCATACACTGGATATGGATATACTGTACCTATATATGGATACATATATAGGAAGTGTATATGGATATATATGAATATGGACTGGATATACCTGGATACACTGTTCCAAAAGATATTTTAGTTCCTTTGTCTAATGATGTAACATCTGCAAAACTACCCAAGCATGTCATTCTTTTAACACATTGCCCATAACTATAAGCCAAGTATTAGGCATACTTTACCAAATACTGTATTATATACACACACTGCCATCACTGATATATCATTAGAAGCAACTTTAATTGCAAAAGTGAAGTACAGTAAATACAATATCTGGCAAAAAAAATGCTGCTTGTTAGTACAGAATTGGCTTTATAAAATATACAAATACAGAAGTGCACCATAACCATTGGAATTCATTACCCTGCACATTTTAAATAAATTATTTATTATTATTATTATTATTATTATTATTACTTGGGATATCAAATGTACCCTGTACTTGCCAATAGGACACATGACTTATTAGATAATGTTTGTCCGTGTAACATAATGATTTTTATCGTCATCTAGCCATATCAACTTACTTCATTTGGGATTTGTATGGTATCTCTGGAGTCATGAGAGCACTGCAGACCCATAATGAAAGGCACAGGGGCATCGAGGAAGTGGTGGAGAGACGCAGGTAATATTGGCACATACACATGTTGCCACACAAATGGAAATACTAGTGTACCTATGCTCTCTGCAACCAGCATAAGTTTATTGTAATCTGCAAGACAAAATGGGAGTCAAAAATTAACTGGATTTGCATGGCTCATACAAATAGAAAAAAAAAGTAAATTACTCTGATTCAATCCATATAATAAAATAATTTAAGCTTACTATAATTAAAAGTCATACATTTATTAACACTAACAACATTTGCTATAACAGCAAAATATTAATTACACAAATCTTATTGTTTAATGTCTAGAAACACACACTTTTGCCTTAGATTTTTTTATTATGGTCTTCAATATTTGTAATCTGATCTTGATTGAATGGAACACAAATAGAAAAGAACAATGTAAACACCAGATTGAGAGAATATATATATTTTTCAAGTTAAGACCCTCCAGATGTACTCTCCAGCCTAGATCCTTATAGTCCAATATGGACATCACACACTCATTAGCTCTAGTTGACCTATCACTCCATCATGGTAAGAAACTTTGAAAATGGTCTCGTCTGATTATCACACTGTAGTGGTTAGAAACTAGCTGCTACACTAACTGCCACTAGTTATCAGTACAGGTAATAACAGGGTTGGTGAGCATACATACCTGCAGAGGATTCTGGGAGTTCTTCTACTCCCCGAGCCCGGCCTGAAGCCAGGCTCAACTTGTGTTAACTTGGTCCAACAGGCTGCTGCTGGTGCAGCCTGCAGGCCCACAACCTCACTTACCACCTAGTAGTCCATCCTTGAGATGTTTGTCCCTGTAATTACCCAAGTGTAGTAATTACAGGATGAGAGCTACGCTCGTGGTGTCCCGTCTACCCAGCACTCTTTGTTATATAACGCTTTGAAGCTAATGACTGTTTTGGCCTCCACCCACCTTCTCAATTGACTTGTTTCAACTGTCTACCACTCTGTTTGCGAAAGTGAATTTTCTTATATTTCTTTGGCATCTTTGTTTAGTTAGTTTAAATCTATGACCTCTTGTTCTTGAAGTTCCAGGTCTCAGGAAATCTTCTGGAAAGCTTCAGATGTATAGCAAAACAATATCCTGGATTATACCTAGTGAATACCAGGAGAGGATTCTGAGAGTTGTTCCACTCCTCAAACCCAAACTGGAGCCAGGCTTGTTTTGAAATAACTTGGTTGAAAAGACTATTGCCAAGAGAGGCCCACAGGCCCATCTATCCAATACAACCCGGTTGGGCTGGCACTCCCTGCAGTAACTTGTCTAATTGTTTCTTGAACATGTCCACTTTCATTTCAGCAATATTTCTTGTATCTGTTGGAAAGGATATTAAATGCCTGTAGTCCTCTGACACTCATACAGTGTCCTCCAATTGTGCCTATGACACTTCTAATCTTCACTGGGTCTATTCTGCACTTCCCACCATATCTCATTCCAGCAAGTTGATATTTTGTTGTGCATATTTGGTACCTGGTCCTCTAGTAGCTTTCCTATTTTTGCTGGTTGCAAACCAGCAACCAGTAGCTGCTGGTTTGCTGTAAAACTCGGGTGGTTCACAAATATCCAACCAAATGAGGGCTATATATACCCTACTTCCTACTTCACTCACACTATGATGGTGATCCAGATCCTAGAATGGGTAGACTTAAATACTCTCTGGCTCTTACAATTAATGGGCAACTTTGCCCATGCTGAGGAACTAGTGCATTAAACAAAATGTAATTGAAAGAAAATATTGACAACTTACCACTAGAGACGAGAATGACCTGGTTTTCCAACAACACGCATGTAAGTAGCTGAACAATACTTTCCACTCCGAGGCATGAGCAGAACTCCCGCAAAGAATACTGAAAAAATAAACAAATAAAATTTAAGATGGCACCCAGTATATATTGTACTTACAATTTAGTAATCAATGCTTCTTTTAATTTTACTTCTAATGACACAATATGACCTAAGGCATATATTGTACTGTATTTAATAAATAATTAGCATTTTGGAATTGATATTGCTATACCCAGTTCATTACTGTTGTAGTTTGATGATATTAATGTCTTGTTACATGAACTTTACAGTGGTTTTCATAAATTAGACAAAGTGAAATCATTATTACTACTATCCCATTTCCCATTCCATGGAGTGAAAAGTCATCAGCCTGGAAGAAATAGAACAGCAAATAGGAAAGGACGCACAGTATAAAGATATAAAAAAAAGATGCCCACACCGGACCAACCGGGCTCTGGTGGGTATGTGGGCCTGCGGGCCGCTCCAAGCAACAGCCTGTTGGACCAATCGCACTCAAGTCAGGCAGGCCGGGCTTGGGGAATAGAAGAACTCCCAGAACCCCATCAAGGTACAAGGTACCATTTGCCATATAACCTATACAACACATTGCAGCATCATATTGCAAGTACATGCAGCACATTGCAAGGTAAGGCATCACATAGAACCAGCACAGTCACACTCCAGTAAGAACCTTCAGCAGCACTCTCACTACTTACTTCATACACTTGTGTGTGAAGTGCTTCCAAATTTATAAATTAATAAATGTCAAACATTCATTCTTAACTAACTATATCCTTATTACTAACCATTTTGTGTGTATTATTAATACTCAAGACCTTCTTCCGTGCACCCGTGCACATATGCACGTTTGCATGCACACACCTGGATAGTAAAGTATAGCAAAGAAAGTAAACACACCTCAAACAAGGGGAGTTCATGGCTAGTGGGACGGTGACAAATGTGTGTCTTTCCTACACAGGAGAATGCCACACAGCGGCCAGGAGGGGGTGCTGGTACTTCATACAATAAATTGTAGACATGTGACTCTAGGCTCACACCACTACTCTCACACTGAATGAAGAACCTGAAAAGAGAGAGAGAGATAATGCAAGTATAAATAAGAATAGTACATATACAATACAGAAAGTGTTACTAACTATTCAATATAATTCCAAGGAGTGAGGGGAGGTTTAGCAGGGCTATGTTGTTTTCAAAACTAAATACAGTAATTAAATTAAATTTTTAATAATCTTAAACATTTAAAAGCATGTGGAGAACTGTATTTTACTAACCTTACATGCACAAGTAACGATAATTACTGAACTGATAACATATTTTGCCTATTACTATATTAAATCTTTTGATAGGATTCAGAAAGGAAAGCCATATTAATACAGTACAGTGTATAGCTTCTAATGTAGCTAACTTAGAAACACACTTGCACCGCAAGAGGCAAACTACATTCACTTTATCAACATATCAACAATGGAAAATTGGAGATAGATATTAAATGAATAGAATAAAGATACCATTATATATAAAAATTCTATTGCCCATTTTTGAGTGGCATATCAAACACTCAACAATGTGCAATTAAAACCTATAAATTGTCATATACGTTTTATATATCACCTGTAAAGTCCTTTGAGAAATTTTCTTCCAGCATAAACATATGGGTGTTGGCCAACAAGGGCAATACATTTGGTGACATACAACTGATCTTTGGTTATATCATAGAAGTGAAGAGCTGCTGGAGATTTGGGGGAGAGCTCGCAACTGAGAGGCGACTGAATGAATCCAGCTGGCGTGGGAGACTGTTGACTCATTAAGAGGACGAATTTTAAGTCGGGAAAAAAACAACATATCCAAAACGATTTATTAAATATGGTTGACAGTGGGTCACAAAGCTCCTCTTTGCATTCTTTAAGCAAAACACTTCATCCGGCCCTGGGGATTTGTTTGGTTTGAGTTTTACTATGTTTGGCGTTGCTCCAGATGAAGCCTTGGCATGACTACTGGACATTTCCGTCAAATACACAGACTGTTGACATTAAGAAGAGAATAAGTCACAACATTATGGCTGAAAACAAATAATCCAACCCACACAGATGAAATGAAACAAAAGACATGACATTCCAATCCAAGTGCAATAATATCTATTTTTTCTGTGCAGACAAGAGCATTTAATTCGTTAATTTTATTTCTTAGACCCTGAAGCCTTATCAAATCAAAACTGATAAGGCAAGAGAGGTGGTGGGATGAGAGGAAATGAAATACTGTATATGTGGAAAAAGTAGAGCATGAAAACCAAGCTAAAGGTTATTGAGATGAAACCCTATGAGATTAAAGAAAATTTGAAAAAAGCAAGCAAAGACGGGAAGGAGAGTAAATGTTTAAAGTATATAAGGAGGAGGAAAAATAAAAGAGAACCAAATTAAAGACACTGTACAAAGAGATATGAATAGAAGAGAGCAGAGGCAGATGACCAGTATCTTAGAAGAGTTGGACAATATATGAAAGAAAGGGTGAGAGAGAGGGTTAGAGCGTTTATAAAAATAAAAGGCTTGTACTGTATGTTGATAAAGCCTCCTGGAGAAATGTCTTAAGTGGCATTGAGAAGATAGATATATACAATATTAATCTTATCATTTCCTGTTAACAAATGCAACACAGTAGCTCACACGTCATTACCATACATACCAACATGGACAATATTTGTATTTTTAAATTGAAAGAATTGTGTTAAAAGTTAAAACCAATAGTATGAAGAAAACAAAAACTCACCTGGAGAGTGTGCATGGCAGTACATATTTGCTGAGAATTAACTTCTTCATAGAAGACATAGGCAAACCCATGCGCACGAGACCCATCTTCTTTAGTCACAAGAAAGGGATGAAAACGAGGCTCCAGGACATGCTTCTGAGTGCGGAACTGGAGTCCCCGTGGCAGGCACAACTGTGGACAAATTATTGTTGTTATAGATTCAGCTACTGGGAACAAAAAGTTCCAAGTACCACGGGCTATGGTGAGCCCGTAGTGGACTTACCTGGCACAGGAACGGGGCTGTGTGTGTGGACAAAGATTGACTGATGAAGATTAAGCCACCCAAAAGGTGGCACGGGCATGAACACCAGTTTTAACATCCCTCCATTCCCTTCGCCGGAAGCAAACTGAATATGTATAGTAATCATAAGAATTCAAGAACTCTTGTATATATAAAAAAATAAAAAAAGCATTCAAATGATGCATTATTTGACTTTGTTTATTCAGTGGCGAGACTTCTTTGGCCCATATTATGAGTCATATTGCCTTGAGGCTATTCCCCTCCATCCAAGACACCCCCCTATTCCCACCACCCGAGGCACCCTCCCCCTTCCCTCCATCAGCCATCCCCCGCCTCCATTACCAGAGTTGATTATACTGCATCAGACAAAGACCTTACAAAGAGTGGATTCGCCGAATTATAGTTTACGTGAGACTATCTTAAAAATACAGCAGTAACAATAACAACAGTGATTGTACGGTGCGTGTTGGGGTGTGTTTATTGACGGAGCTGAGCTGACAAGCTCTTCAGGTCTCTTGTACTTACCTAGTTACCTAGTTGTGCTTGCGGGGGTTGAGCTCTGGCTCTTTGGTCCCGAGTCTCAACGGTCAATCAACTAATGTACGGGTTCCTGATCCTACACTTGAAGCTATGTATGGAGTCAGCCTCCACCACATCACTTCCTAATGCATTCCATTTGTCTACTACTCTTGACACTGAAAAAATTCTTTCTGACGTCTTGCCTGGTTGCTACGAGGCTTCTGGTAGTGTCCATACAAGAGACTCTGCACTCTTTATCCTGTGCAATGTGCAAGTTACTTGTAATTGCTATTATGAGGTTCTTACTGCCGATCTTGCGGGAGAATTTTTCAAGAGCAGTCTTTGAATACAAAAAAAAATTCTTGTGTGGCCTTCTCAACTTGCTTTCAGTCATCTTCGTGAGCTCTCACCAAACACGACCATGAACATTATTACCTATCGTTGTGTAGTGTTCACTATCTTCGGTCATTCATCGTGTCACTTTCATATATGATTACATAACAAATTTCCAGAGCTGATCAGGAATTTTCACAAAGTAACATTCATTAATTATCCATCCATCATTTCCATGATCTTTCAGACACTTTCAAAACCCTCTTGGTCACTTTCCCCTACGCTCCGGTCACATTTTCACAAGCCCCTCGCCATGACGTCACTCTCCAGGAGGTCCCCCCAAGAGACATGGAGAATGTTCCCAGGACGCAGGAAATGTCCACTTTAGTGGAGACAATTGTCCCACTGCCTCTGAATGCCTCCTCAGTCACGGTAACACTCTGGAAGACCCGACCACTTGCTCAATTCCTAAGACCAGTTGCCAGTTATACTCCCATTAGTTCACACTACTTGTGACATCTCAAACTCATTTCCTTGGTCGTCATTCCAAATCTCTTGTCACTCCCAGGGTCACTAGATTACCCAGTCACTCCCAAAGTCACTAGATTACCCAGTCACTCCCAGGGTCACTGGACTACCCAGTCACTCCCAGGGTCACTGGACTACCCAGTCACTCCCAGGGTCACCAGATTCCCCCCAGTCACTCCCAGGGTCACTGGATTACCCAGTCACTCCCAGGGTCACTGGATTACCCAGTCACTCCCAGGGTCACTGGATTACCCAGTCACTCCCAGAGTCACTAGATCCCCCCCAGTCACTCCCAGGGTCACCAGGTTCCCTCCAGTCACTCCCAGGGTCACCAGATCCCCCCCAGTCACTCCCAGGATCACCAGATCCCCCCAGTCATTCCCAGGGTCACCAGATTCCCCCCAGTCACTCCCAGGGTCACCAGATCCCCCCCAGTCACTCCCAGGGTCACCACTCGCCATACTAGAGTAAATATCGAAAGAGGTCTGGTTTACACTGAAAGCAATGTTTGCATTAAACAGTTTGCGGATAGCAGACCTATAATGCTGAACTTCCCGGCGGTAAACCCACACTGAAGCAAGAATTTCCCGGCGATAAACCAGTATTGAAGCACGAGTTCTCCAGCGGTAAACCCGTCCTGAAGTCTTCCGCCAATAAACCAGATCTGAAGCCAGTGTTTCCCGCCAATAAACCAGATCTGAAGCCAGTGTTTCCCGCCAATAAACCAGATCTAAAGCTAGTGTTTCCCGCCAATAAACCCGACCTGAAACGTGTTTCCCCGGCGGGAACCCGCACAGAGGCAAGAGTTTTCCGGCAGCAAACCCGTACTGAAGCAAAAACTTTCCGGCTGTAAACCCGTAGTGAAGGAAGGGGGGAATTAACGAGGTGCTGAAAGTGAGAAGCAGCAGCGAGTGAACGCGGCGTGCGCGCTTGGCTCCACACTCCACAGCCTCCGTCACCGTTCCCAAGTGCGCTCCCTTCCCAAACGGCGTTTCTATGCCCTAAATAAATTCTTAAAACAACACAAATAAATTGGCAATGTCCTTCGGAAGACCATGTCGTCTTTATTCAACGGCATGTATATGTATGCAAATACATATATAATGATGGAAGTGAACTAGCTAGGCTGAAGCCACTGCCGCTGCCATGGTTCGGAAGCGAGACCTTCACGGTGAGGGGAACGGTTCCAATTGAAACTTCCACATGAAGGACTAAATCAGCAGCGTCAGGACACAACTCCAGGGCACACAAAGCCTCAGGTACACGATATCCTACCTGGCTACCGACTATGTTACAACCACTAATGACCATTTGGTCAACATTTGCCAAACATTGCGAATACTGTAAATCAAAGTGCTTGAAGTAATTGGTGTGGGTTGTATGATAAGCGAATTAAAATTATATGCAGTTGGTTTATCATAAATGTAAATTGCTTAGTGTTGTGGTCCAATTATTTAATCTATTATGCTAAAAAAATACTGTCGAAATACACGTTCAACTATGCAACTAGCATATAAAGGCTGCAACTTACCTTGGGTTCGTTTCGAGGATCAATGTTCCCTCGACTGGTCTCTGACCAGGTCTACTAGAGGGTGGCCTGATCAACCAGGCTTTTAGAAGCCGCTGCTCGCTACAACAGGTATGGATCACATCTGGTGGATCAGTTATCCTTTGGAGGAGTTTATCAAGTTCTCGTTTGAACACCGTGAGAGGTCGGCTAGATATGTCCTTGATGTTTAGCGGGAGAATGTTGAAGAGATCTGGACCTTGATGTTGACTGAGTTCTCTCTCAGCGTACCCATTGCACATTAAGATTTTGTAGGCTACTGGTACTGTGAGGCCTTCAGGAATATTTTCCAAAGGAAAACAAAGGTAAAGAAATATTAAATTTATTTTGAGAAAGCTATTCCCTTGTGTAGATTTAGACCAGTCTCTAATACTTCTCACGTGTAAATTAATACAGTATCTCGAAGAGAGATTACAAAAAATTATCTAAATAAATTTTGTGGTTCAGTGCCAGAGCCCATTATGTGCCTCTAACCTTTTCTTTACACAATCACTCACAGGAGAGGCTGGAGAGGATACTCCAGCTTCGACAACCAGAGCGTAACTCAATAGTCATCTGAGACTGATGGATGCCTACGCTACTCACAAGATAGGTACGGAGTCCACTACCACCCATATCATTGGCATGAGACCCACTACCACCCGCAGGATGATTATAGAGTCCACTATCTCCCACCCATCCTGTGGGAGTTGGTGGACCCTCAATATTTATAATAGTTGGTGTATAATAAATTAAATCTAAATCATTAAAAAAAATTATTCGTTTTAATTAGTTTTATAGTATGACATTCTCAATTTTTCGACACGAGTGTGGCGGGACGGTGGGTAAATGAGTTTTGTTTAATTTAGTAGTAATTAGCCTGCATCAGTATTTTGTCTGGCTCAAATAGGCTGTTTTTTGTCGGGCCGATGTTTAGTGATTTATAATGCGTTAATGTTTAAAGGCGCTGAACAACGTACTATAACCGGTTTTGTTCAAGTACAATCATCATCATAGGCTATGATGAATGATACACTAGTCCTTGTACCTATTCCCCGCTGGAGACGAGCACAGTGGTCTGCGTCCTCGGCTCATAACCAAGGGACCCGGGTTCAATCCCGGCTGTGTAGGTTTTCTTTCTCCTGACGCTCCTCTTCACCTTCCATTCAAAAAGTTTCCAGGAGTTAGTCAACTGTTGTGGGAGGAAGTGCAGTGCAGTTGAAAAGCAGAAGTGCAACAGGTACGCTGAGAGATTTCCATCAACATCAAGGCCCAAGACTTTTCAACACTCTCCTTCTAAACATAAGGGACACGTCCACAAGGGCCGTGACGAGGGTTCGAACCTACGTCCGAGAGCATCCCAGACGCTGCCTTAATCGACTGCGCTACGACATAGTAAAACAATTGCAACCAGAAGTTCTACTGCTTAAGTTACGCAATTCCCCCATGCACTCGAGATTTCTGCGTGTAATAAGGGACACAACTAGCCGATCTCTCACGGTAATCAAAAGGGAACTCGATAAGATAAACATCTCTAATGGGTACTTGATCAACCGGGCTTTGGTTCACACGACAGACTACATGCAGCAGTGTCTAACGCGGGACCTCACTAAGCTTTAGCACAAGGCTTTCTGTCCCCGAGAACGAGAATTATAAATCTAACAATCCCATCTTAATTGTATTTTTTGTTGTTGACAAGCGCAGTACGCCAAATGGCCGGCAGATGGTGCGTCTGTCTCGCCACGGTATACCAGGTGGAATTTCCACCTGGTATACCGTGGCGATAGTAACCTCCAGAACCGAGGCCACTGACCTTGTGGACTCCGCCGGCGGAGAGCTTGTTATCCCCGACACGCGAGTGACCCACCCACCTACAAGCCATCCCTTGAGGAACTGGGCCACAGATATAGGTCACTAACACCGCCGAACGCAAACATCGATCCCGCCTCCCGTGACTGGCCAAGC